CCCCAAAACCCCAAAACCCCAACATGAGTAGATACATAGGAAATAAACAAATCGAAAATATATAAATGAAAATTTAAATTGCTTAAATTGTCTTCTTTAAAATATTAAATATAAATCATCTATTATATACCTGTTTAGTAAAATAAGCCAGAAATGTCTAAATAATCTACTTTTGATTTAAAATAAAACATTTGAGACTCATTTTATTCTTAACTTATTATTTTCTAGATCATTGTTGTATTTCAAGATAAATTCTAGAATGTATTCTATCTTGAATTATACTCTGTAGAATTTATATCAAAGTTAGTGTCTGTATTATCAAAATCATATATTGCTTAACTAACAGGATCAAGTTCATCATAACTATAATTTTTACTCATATCATTTCCATTTTCTCTACTCAATGTTTCATCTTAGTGAGATATTGTGTTTTAATCTGTGAGATTCATTTAGCTATTTCGCTTCTTCTACTTATCTATTGCCTTATTATACTCGGATTTCACCTTTTACTTTAATTAATCATTCTTTTGAGTTTTTTTTAATTTACTCCTTTTAATAATTTTTTTTCTTTCAGAATTTGGAAAGATTTCTTTTTATTAATCGCTCTTAACTATGAAATTTTCAATAAATTCAGCAGATTTTTACTTTTCTTTCACGGATTTCTTTTTTAAACCCTGTTTTATTGAATAAATCATCATTGATATTATGACGGAGATATTAAAGCAAATGTAGGAGAGTATCAAGTATATTGAAACATTTCCATATTAAAAATATGCCTCATCACTCATTTCATGAGATTGTAAAAATGGCACAAATGAATAGCAAATTAATTGGAAAAGAAGGCAATTTGCAATAGTAATTTTATTCTATTCAGAATTTTCGAAAGGTTTTTTAGTAATCATATACCAAAGCATGAAAATATTAATTTAGATAATCATCAATATCTATAGCCCTTAATGCTATATTAGAAATATGAGAATAATACAAAACAATTGTTTTCTTATTATTTAAACTGGATTATAAATAGCTTTGACTTAATTTTAAGTGCTAATTGATTCAATAAAAGCCCCATATCTTAAGTGAAAATACTTAGCCTTCTTTGAATTATCAACATAATGAATCATTCTTTAGATCATAAATATCCCAATATAAGGTAGCAGAATAGCTTAAAATAGAATCATTAATGTTATTCCTATACTTACAGCATCATCATATCCATCTACTTATACCTATTAAGTGTATTAATATAGTATTTAGTTGTTAACTTACACTGATTTGATATATCATTGAGAACATAAATAGCTCTATGTAAGATTCCAAAAAGAATCTTATGTACATATTATAGACTATATTATTATTCAATTTTGTAATCATTAAATATAACCTGATTTCATTATTTTGGATTTCAGACTTTTAATTGAAAAAAGAAAACAATTCAGGTATTCTTACAATAGCAGTTAAAGCTAAGATTCCTATGTATATATAAAGTAATAAACCCAAGTTATTCATGATAATGGTCGAATTATAATTCAAAAGCAGAAACTATTCATTATATGGCTAATCATCATAATTCGTGAAATCGATTAAAACTTCATTTAATATATCATCAGGAATGATATCTAGAGTCATTAAATCATTTATCAAAGAGTAGAATGCTAAAGTATTTGCTGGTAGAATAATTTGTACCAAGGGTAGATGCGTTATCAACTGGAGTTCATCTATCATTCCCCACAAAAAAGAGAGACCACATCTCCTATTAAAATAATATGATTTCATTATTGTACATAAATATATTGATAGCTATGTTTGATCCAAAAATAGCCAATAATGAATATTTAGTTGCACCTTGTATAGTTGAGAAAATTGAATAGATATCTAAAAATAATTGAAATAAATAACTATTTTAGTTTAAATTCAGGATTGAACAAAATTTTAATGAAGAAGTTAAATTTCAAATATTTTAATAAATTACTTACCAGTATCTATTTACGGCGGTACAATTATTGAAATCTCAGAATTTAGTTTGATTATAGTCTTACTTTTGCTGTCAATGTAGTATTTGTTTTCCTTAAACATTATTCTCAATTGATCCAACTAAAAGTTCAATAAGCATGCAAAAGTTACATATTTAATAGATATTTTATCTTTTTGAACTCTAAAAAAGAGTTTTAGATAGAGCTTCTAGCCTTTGAATTTGGTGATGTTATAGTCGACATTAGTTACAACATTGTCTTATACCAATTTTAAACTCAAACTCTCATTCATCACTTAAGTATAGTTATAAGGAATAGCCATGATTTTGTCAAATAATATTACAACTTCTCCAATTTGATTTATTTTGAGCACTCTCGCCCTTAAAGTCTAATCCTTTACTTATCTTTTTATTCTATCATAATTGTCTAGTCTGTTCTCTTCCAGATAATTAATATCATCTTTATCTGAATAAACTGAGATTTTGAAAGAATAAGTGTTGAACAACGATTACTAATTTTTTTGAATAAGCTTAATCTTTACATCATATTTACCCCTATCATATAGACTTGGACTTATCACAAGATTAGTAAGGTCTTTAATTTTAGTAAAAAGAGAAGCTTTTCCAAGATCTATTTTAATGTCATACAAGTCATTCTAAATATCGAAAATTGCAGGAAGCTAATAGATCTAATTATCACCAACTTAAATCATGGTCATTGTAGGCATATTAATGAAAAAAGGAGGACTGTCATAACCATTTTTATATTTTATATATTGGAAAATATAAATATCTACTTTGTAAGGTGTTAGATAATGAACATAACCACCATAAGAAACGTCTGAGTTTATATAGTATTCATAATGATCAGCTAGAGAATTATTAGAGCATTCTATTTAGATCAAATTTTTAGATGGAATAAGGAAAATCTGCGGAATGAATATACTAACTAAATTCCTTTTACTTGCTTTAGAAACTTATAGGTGTTAGGAGTAATATTTGCACCAATTAGGAGTATAGGTATGCATCGGAAGAGTAAAGTTCTTTGCTGGGTCAAGAACTGTATAATAAAAAGTTTAACTTTGTGGTGACGATATTTCTTTTATCTCTAATATACAATGGCTTATATTCAAATTAATAGTTATTGAACTATCATTAGCTTAAGTACCATTAAAGCCATCATAATTCAAGGCACTTATTCTGTAATTCTGCTAAGATAAATGCTACACATTTGTTTATATAAAAGCATCATCCATTAGTAAAGGAGATAAGGTAAAGGTCTTATTTTTTAGCAAAGTAGACTAGGAATTTGATTTTTAAATTAGAATGGTAAGATTAAGTACATCTGTACATTATCCAAATTAGTAGTAACCCATACTAACAGTACAATTTTCAAGTTCACTATAGCAATTAAAATCTCTCTTATCAGGAATATTAGGTAAATATCTCAAGTCATTTACGCCTCTTCGATTACAAGTTGTTTTATTTGGTGAATTTACAAGAAGAGTTGCATTTAATTCAACTAAAATTGACCTTAGATCTATGTCAAATGAAAATAGAGTAGAAATATCTGTAGGGGGAGAAATTGGATTTGTGTTTAGAATATCAACAACCTAGAGTTACCTCCTCTTTTTAATGCTTTTTATTAGCATTTCTTAGTTATAGACTGAATCAATATCTTCCTGCTCTCTTTCTATTTATGAATCCAAAATTTATAGTAATTCTTCATCATCAAGAAGGAGTACTTAACGAAGCACCTAATCATTCTCTGAATTTATTCCAGTTTAATCTAGGATACGTAAACCATTATTAGAATCATATGAATTAGAATCGTGAGAATATGAATTGGAATCATGAGAATATGAATTAGAATCATGAGAATATGAATTATAAGAACTTGGCCAATTATTGTCTGGTTATGAAGTAGTAGTAGTTATGGTAACAACATTGCCATTAGGTGCAGGAGTAGTAGTTGTTGTGGTCGTTGTGGTTGTTGTAGGAACATTCTGCAATATTTGATATAATTGGAGATCGAGATTGAATGGCGTTAGATTAGTCTCTTACTTAATAATATTATAGCAATATTCCTAAGATCTCATTTTAAATATATAACTTGATGCTATACCATTTATAGTCGCATCTCCAAAGAAATAGAGCCTTGAACTAAAGTCAAGTAAAAATCGCTTATAAGTAATAGGTTTGATTGTTTTAGATGTAAAGACTTTGGTGTTGTTCAATATATACATACTAATTTAAGGATCGTACATCAAATCAGATGTGGAATAGTAGTCTATTGAACTTTTTGAAAATGTGTGATACACAGTGTAAATTTTATTTCCTTTTTAATGTATATCAACACAAAGCATCTATTCAACATTCTAATTTGTATGTAGATTGTGAAAAGCAGAAGTTTCTTAAATTATGTAACCGAAAAAATCTGTTTAAAAACTACGATAGCATCCTATCAAAGATTAATCAGTACTATTGTAGACAACATTTATTAATCCTACTCCTTAAAGTAACGTTGAAGTCTGTCCTATGGAAGGCTCATACTAGTAATGAGTATTTAATGATCCATCAAGATTGTAGAATTTAATGTATAGATAATACTATGGGGTGTATTCGTTACCGCATGCCATTAATAAATTACCATTTTATATTTCTTAAAGGTGATACACATTGGTACTTCGGTAGGGATCAATTCTCCATTAAAATGAGTCCAACGCATTATTTATCTTTAGAATTTTAGCTTTTTAATTAGACTAAGCTTAGTCATTTTAAAGTGTATAAACATCATTATTACGATCTATTGCTATTCCATATTGTCTTGTCTATACCCCGATATTAAGAAATTTTAGTGCTTTAATAATTTTACCATCAACAGGGTTTACTTTTACAACATATTATTCTGTTTATGAGAACATTCCAGCAAATATATTAGTTTTTTTAACTGCTAATGAATGAACTGCTAATTAATCTAAACTTGGATTTAGGTAGTTCCACATCCATCTTATCTTTGTTAGTTACCATTAATTCTATTGATAAAAGCCTAGAATGGGAGATACTTTAGGTCCAGCATGCCTATAACCACCATATATAAGATCCCCTATTTCATTGAATTTTATGATTAATGTATGTATCCCAGCATTATTTGCTTGAAATGAAAGTGGATAGGAATAACTCGTAAAGCATTACCCCTAGTTATTAGCTGCTTCAACCAATCTATAAATTTGTTTATAATATATTGTTATACATGTTTAACAATGAAACAGCAATGTAGAATGAGAGCAATTGATATTTCTTACAAACAGACAGTCTTAAATTTTATTTATGTATTCTATAAAAGTTTACTGAGCCATTTAGAGGCATCATTATATTATTATATGTCATTTTTTAGATTATTAAAAAAATTGATGAATCTTATTAAAGGACTTCTTGCATCATGGGGTTTTGGGGTTTTGGGGTTTTGGGG